ACGAGAGGGGGATGTGTATTCTAGGTGGGAGGGACCACCCTGAGCAAAGGGCCAGAGGGGTGTGTGCCTGGATAGTTGGGAGGGGGTATTTCTGAGAGTGGTATGCAAGGTGTGAGGGAGCAGGTGGGGTGAGGCCCTCCTGCTGGACAGGTGGCCAGGGCCCAGGGCGGAGGGCCAGGTGTGCCAGGCAAAGGAGCTTGCATGTTATGCCAAGGGCAGTGGGAGCTAGTGAAGGGTGTTGACCAGAAAGGGGTGATGTGGTCACAGTCACCTTATCTGCAAAACCCAGGGCCGGAGGAGTGAAGGAGGTAAGGAGCCAAAGGTGTTCCACTGGCAGGTTGGAAGCTGCTATTCGCTCCCCAGCCCTTGCAGGAGGCTGATGATAAGCTCCCCGAATTAAATGTTAACATTTCCTGGTGACTATTCGTCCTACTGCTTTTGGGAGCTCTTTTTTTTTTTTTTTTTTTAAGATTTTATTTATTTGACACAGAGAGAGCGAGCACAAGTAGGCAGAGCGGCAGGCAGAGGGAGAGGGAGAAGCAGACTCCCCACTGGTCAGGGAGCCCAGTGCGGGGCTCGATCCCAGGACCCTGGGATCACGACCTGAGCAGAAGGCAGACATTTAACTGACTGAGCCACCCAGGCGCCCCTTGGGAGCTCTTTTATTACTGTTAAAAAACAAGATTCAACTGAGTACATTTCAAGATCAAATTGGCTTTATTGGTGATTTGGGAATCGGGCAGTATCCCACCTAGCAATCCCTGAACACCATCCAGCCCAGGCCAACCTCCCCGTGTCCCCCAGCCTCAGCTGGGGTCTCACCTCTGTTTTTCACCATCAGAGACTTGGGAGATGGCAGCGCCCGTCCTCCGTCCAAAACCACTTCTGTTTTTTAGGCAAGCGATGGGCGGTGCCAGCCGAGTGCTGAGTCCAGATTTCCACATTCCCCTCAAGCAACTGCGTTTCTGCTGAGTCACGGTTGGGAGGGGGGCTCTCAGAGACAAAAGGGAAGGAAGGCGGATTTTGCTGAGTCACCGGCGACTTCCTCAGCCTCCCTCTGAGCCGTCTCGGTGAAAGGGCAGCTTTCACAGCAGTCTGGAAGAAGAGAAGCTTCCAGAAAAGAGCAGAAGCCTCCAGTTTATCTCTGGTCTTTGCACGTTGTTTGCAAAGCCCTGTCCCAGGCATCTCAAAGGCCGTTTGTCCCAGACTGCACCGCTGAGCATCCCCCGTGGCAGTAAACTGGCAATTCCAAGTTCTCTGGGACTCCTCTCCATCCTCACTCCCACTTCCTATTCTTCTGACATTCTTGATGGCTCTGCCTTTAGAACGCGGAGGTCCTAGGCTGCTTCTCAGCCTGTCCTGTCCGAGCCCTGGATTATGGTGATGGGCAGCCTTCTGCCCCTCAGCAACCACAGCGATCCATCTCAAGTGAGACCTCCCTCTCTCTGCGGCCGGGTTTGTCCCACCTGCGGGCCTCGGTCCTGCCTCTCCCTGGCTGCCTGGAACAACTTTCTTCCCACACCTCCTAGCCTGTGAGTCCACCCTGACCTGACCCTGATTGAACACTGCAATTCCTGAGTCCTCCTTACCCTACATCAGACTTCTCCTGCCCTGTTTCCTCTGCCTCTCAGCACGGAAAGCTCTCAACCTTTAGGACTCCTGTGAATAGGTTGGGCCCACCTAGAGAATCCAGCAGGATTTCCCCCACTTTGAAGTCTGCAATCTTCATGACAGATGCAGAGGGCAATGAGCGTATTCAACCAGTCACATAACCTAGTTCCAGGTACCAGGTATTAGGGCATGGGCATCTCCAGGGGGGGCGGGGCTGTGATTCTGCCCACCACAGAGGAACTCCCACCTCCTGGGTTTGGTGAGGATGAAATGAGACCATGCTGGGAAGAATGCCTGGCTGACAGCAGACCTCTGGATTCCTTCCCGGTTTCTATCCACATTTGTGCCCCCTGCCCCCGTTCCAGATCATTATCCCTTGGTCCCAGACTCCTTCTATTAGGATCCTGAGCACACAGACTCTGTCAAGGTGGGCTTCCAACCTCTTCAGCTTTGTATCTCTAGCACTCGTATGAAACGGGCCCATTCTAGCCACTCAAGCATTTGACCCCTGGGAGGCAGGTGTGGAGAAGAGGGGGTGGGTCCTCCGAGGGAATCAAGCTCTCATGGTGGAATAGCCCACGTCATGCTGGGAGGTGACAGAAGGGAGCAGGTGAGGAGGAACTCCCAGGGTCTATCCATCTGTGTCCTGCTTCCCAAAGCTGAGGCTCTGTTCCCCATATGAGGAAGGCAGGCCTCGAGGGGGGCCATCCTCCTTTATTGTTGCTGTTGTAAAAATTCTCACAAACATAGCGGCTTAAAACGACACATGTGTATTCTCCGGAGATCCGGAGGTTGGAAGTCCTGAAACAGGTCAGCAGGGGTGCTTCTTCTGGAGTTTTAGGGGAGAATCCACTTCCTCACATTTTCCAACTTCTAGAAGCTGTCTGCTCTCCTTGGCTCATGGCCCCCGACTCCATTGTTCAACACTAGCATCTTCCAGTCTTGGAGTCCTGTTTCTCTTGTCATGTCCCATTCTGTATCTGTCACCCTGCAGCCTCCCTCTTAGAAGGATTTCGGTAATTACATTAGGCCTACGAGGATAATCCGGGATAATCTCCCCATCTCAAGATCCTTAAATTAACCACATCTGCCAAATCCTTGTTACCTCATAATGGAACATAGTCAAGGGTTCTGGGTATTCGGATGCGGACATCCTTGGGGGGAGGGGCGGTGCATTATTCAGCTTACCACAGGAGGAGAAAGAATACCATTTGGATCTTTCCAGTTGCTTGAGGGCAGGGAAGGGGAAGTCAGGAAGCTGAATCAGCACGCGGAAGGACCACAAACTCAACACTGGGACAGAGGAAAGAGCCAGATCAGCTCTGACCCAGCCTCCTCGGCCCCGGGGTTGTCGGTGTGTGGGGTCTGTTCTGGTCAAGTCGGGGGCTCTTAGGGCAGCAGTTAGAATGAGAAGCAAGCCTGGACTGGGAGCCAGGAACCCGTGGTCACTGAAGGCCCTGTGTTGTCCTACGGGGCAAGTCAGTCCCCACTAGGGGCCTCTGCTCCCCCATGTTAGATAAGAAGGAATCAGATCACACAAGCATTGCTTTCTGGGGTTCCTGAATTGACAGGCTCTGGATATGCTCAGGGAAGTTTTCAGACCTTGGCACCCTTATCCCCCAAATTCCTGGGGCACAAATGTGCCCCTCTGTGACAGGACATGTGGCATGTGGCGAGGCGGGAGGGGGGGGTGTCAGGAGCATGGGCTCTGGCTGCAAAGCACCGTAGTTGGAATCCCAGATCTGCTGTTACTAGCTGTGTGACTTGGGAAAGCTATGACCCTCTCTGTGCCGTAGTGTCTATGTGGACAAAATGGAGATGAAACTGACAATAACCTGGAAGTCCGATGTCAGGATTAAATGAAATCCTGCACTTAAAGCATCTGCCCATGGAAAGTGGTCCATAAAATTGGGCTAAGATTGCAGTTTGTAACTTGATTCCAGCCCTTTCGGGGCAGCCTAGGGATATTATCATGTTTACCAGAAAAATCTTGTGGTTTATCTATTCATTCTTTCCAATCAATCAGTGCAGACCAGTCAGCTACCTGCCAGGCATTGTTCCAGGCTCCAGGATTTACAGAACAAAGCAAAGTCCCTGCCCTCCAGGAAACTTGCATTCTAATGAGGCCATTGGTTTCTAATAGCCCTCATTTCTAGAAAATTCTTGGCAACACTTCTTTTTTTTTTTTTTTTAAGATTTTATTTATTTATTTGAGGGTGCCTGGGTGGCTCAGATGATTAAGCATCTGCCTTCGGCTCAGGTCATGATCCCAGGGTCCTGGGAT